TCGCTGGAAGGCGGGCATCTTTGCATTTTGATAGCTTTCTAAAATTCATCCCCTCTTATCTAATCAGCATTCACCTCTCCCTGCACCATAGAAATAGATAAGGTTGTTTAGCTTATGGCCTCTGGCTCTCAGAGGTTGTGTAGATAACAATGCTGAAGTCGGGCCTGAGTGAGTGGATTAAGGGTGGTTGACCTTGATTAGTTTCTTGGAAAGGAGAACACCAGAAACAGGACTGTCCCCCAAAAGTCACGGAAATGGCCGACAGAAACCACTTGATATTGTTCTGGAGCAAACTTGATGGACATGTCCATGAAGATCCAAAAGATCCCACTTGATTCAAAGGGAACTTTGTGATCAAGGAGGAATCTAAATGTCAACAGGACAGGCCATTCCGATGATGAATTCCTCCTCTACTGATAGTAACCATAAAGTAAAGGTTCCCCTTGCACATACGTGCTAGTCGTTCCTGACTCTAGGGGACAGTGCTCATCTCCGTTTCAAAGCCAAAGAACCAGCGCTGTCCGAAGACGTCTCCGTGGTCATGTGGCCGGCATGACTCAATGCCAAAGGCGCACGGAATGCTGTTTCCTTCCCACCAAAGGTGGCCCTTATTTTTCTACTTGCATTTTTTACCTGCTTTCGAACTGCTAGGTTGGCAGAAGCTGGGACAGGTAACGGGAGCTCACCCCGTTATGCGGCACTAGGGATTCGAACCGCTGAACTGCCAACCTTTCGATTGACAAGCTCAGTGTCTTAGCCACTGAGCCACCGTGTCCCTGTAATAATAACCATAAGAAGATCCTAAGTCAACCTGGAGGTTTTCCAGATACTCAAGAGGCGTTCACACACACAACTGTGGAAGTGTACAAGTGACAAGCATCAACTAGAGAAGCTACATATTTAGCCCCATCTAAGGAAGGAGACCTCAAATGCTGCCCTCAAACAAGTCAGTTGGCCACAACAATTTACTGGTAAGTTGAAAGCATTAAACCACAAGAAGTTGAATTCACACAATACGCTAAGCCATCAACCAGGATTTCTTACAACTGAAGAACAGAAGAATTGGGAGGGATATTGAAGATCATTTAACCTGACCTCTGCCCAGTTCAGAAGTCAACTACAATAGCTTCAAAAGCCACACACAGACCCCTATTTAAACACCTCCAGTGAAGTCTACATTCCTTGCTTCTTGTCCTGAGCTGGAAGAAATCTGAATAATTCTGCTTCATTGCCTTAAGAAAGCCCTCCAGATGCCAGTGGGTTTGGCTGAAGTTGAGTGAGTAACATATAAAGAACAGTTGCAGGAATTGGGCAAGTCTAGTTTAATGAAACAAAGGACTATAATGGACATGATAGCAGTCTTCCCGTACTTGAGGGGCTGCCACAAAGAAGAGGAGGTCAACCTGTTCTTCAAAGCACTTGAAGGCAGGACAAGAAGCAATGGGTGGAAACCAATCAAGGAGAGAAGCAACCTACAACTAAGGAGAAATTTCCTGACAGTGAGAACAATTAACCAATGGAAAGGCTCCCCTCCAGAAGCTGTGGGTGCTCCAACATTGGAAGTTTTTAAAAAGGGACTGGACAACCATTTGCCTGAAATGGTATAGGGTTTCCTGCCTGAGCAAGGGGTTGGACTAGAAGACCTCCAAGTTCCCTTTCCACTGTGTTATTCTGTTCTGTTCTGAAATCTCCTCTACTCCACACCCAACGCTTCAACTGTCCACCTTATCAAGTTTTTTTTCTCCTTCTAGCCTCTTATCGTCTTGGTTGTCCCAAAAGGTCAACTTAATCCCAACACATAGATGGGCTAAGCCAAAATGGGAAGGACACAAAGATAACATCGAAGTCATCCTTGGAATGTCCTTAGCAGGACTACATGTTACAACCAAGAAGAGGTCAACGGAGAACAACTGCCCCGTGTAATCACCGGGTATCGGAAAGAGATCCCAATACCCAAAGCAAGAAGTGGAAGATTCGTAAGGAATCTGGTTCTCCCACTTCTACGAATTGGAACAGAACGTTCTAGGAATAAACAGAATCATCCCTTTGAACACAATTTAATTGCTGAAAGGTCTTGGGGCAGAACAATCTAGAATCAGTTGAAAATATTTACTCGAAAATACAATTATGGGTCTTCCTTGGGCTATTTATTCAGGGACAACTTCAAAGATCTTTAGCTATCTCCAGAGGGGACCAAGCCAATGGCCCTATGGCTATGTAAAATCACAACAAGAAAAATATTTGCTTAATCTCCTACCCAAAACTCTTTCTCTTCCTAGGATCAAAGATACAAAGAGCAACCGAGTAGAGTAGAGTAGAGTAGAGTAGAGTAGAGTAGAGTAGAGTAGAGTAGAGTAGAGTAGAATATAGAATAGAATAATGGGATGGGATGGGATGGGATGGGATGGGATGGGATGGGATGGGATGGGATGGGATGGGATGGGATGGGATGGGATGGGATAGGATAGGATAGGATAGGATAGGAGGAGGAGGAGGAAAGAAGGAGAATGGAATGGAATGGAATGGAATGGAATGGAATAGAATAGAATAGAATAGAAAATGGAGTGAATGGAATGGAATGGAATGGAATAGAATAGAATAGAATAGAATAGAATAGAAAATGGAATGAATGGAATAGAATAGAATAGAATAGAATAGAATAGAATAGAATAGAATAGAATAGAATAGAATAGAATAGAATAGAATAGAATAGAATAGGAATTTAGAATAGAATGAGAGAAGTGGAATGGAATGGAATGGAATGGAATGGAATGGAATGGAATAGAATAGAATAGAATAGAATAGAATAGAATAGAATAGAATAGAATAGAATAGAATCAGAGCTGGAAGGGACCTTGGAGGTCTTCTAGTCCAGCCAGGAAGTGTTAAATCTTTCACATTTGAGGAAGCAAATCCTTCTCTACAAAGGGAGACATCGTCACAGCTCAGCTCTCTATCGTCTTTTCTCCAAGCTTCAAAAGGTCATCCTCGACTTACAACAGTTCATTTAGTGACCGTTCAAAGTTGCAACGGAATTGGAAAAAAGGGATTTACGACCATTTTTTTCTCCACACTTACAACCACTGCAGCATCCCCAGGGCCATCTGATCAAAATTCAGATGCTTGACAACTGATTTATATTTACGTCGGTTGCAATGTCCGGGGTCACATGACTTCCTTCTGACCCAGCAAATTCAATGGGGAAGCCAGTAACAACTGCGTTACCAACTTAACAACTGCAACGATTCACTCAACGACTGTGACAAGAAAGGTCGTAAAATGGGGGAAAATTCACTTAGCAACTGTCTTGCTTAGCAATGGAAATTTTGGGCGCCTCCTATCTCCTCCATTCAAAGGCGTCCATTCTGCCTTCTTCCTTTATCTCTCTGTTGGGAGACGTCATCCCTCTTCGCCAAATTATCCCTCCCATGGTGCAGAATGGAAGGATCACCGGGTGGCCTACTTTTCTTTTCTTTTTTTTTTCCAATACATTTTATTAAACTTTTATGACATTAAAAACATAAAAAATTATTTCACTCAACAACAGCTCTTTGTGGTGTTTTTCTTGCGGCAATAATTCGTGCATTATTTACAAAAATTAAATTGTGCGTATTTACGTTCTTATTTTATCTATTACTTATGCTTAATAACTATCTCTCTTTAATCTATCTCCGTTCTATCCAGTTATATCACTGTTCCCTCACATTGTAAAATATCGATGCCTCTTTATCTTTTAAACTCAGTGTTAATTTGTCCATTTCTGCACAATTCATGATCTTTTATATGACCAGTTTCTCTGTGGGTGTGCATGGCTGTTTCCAAGTAGGTTGGCCTACTTTTCATTCCTATTCTGCTGCTGTTACCTACACAAAAAAAAGTTAAAGCACACTGTCTGGGGAATTCTGGGAACTGAAGTCCATACATGCTGTCTGGGGAATTCTGGGAACTGAAATCCATACATGCTGTCTGGGGAATTCTGGGAACTGAAGTCCATACATGCTGTCTGCCCATCTTAACGTCACCGAGTTTGAAAAACACTGATTAAAACCAAGCCTGTGTCCATCGGAAGCCAAACTTCCAATGTACCACTGTACTACCAAGCCAAAGAGCCTTGGTAGTACAGTGGTCTAAAGCACCCTGTTATTAAGAACAGCTGCCTGCAATTACTGCAAGTTCAAATCTCACCAGGCTCAAGGTTGACTCAGCCTTCCATCCTTTCTAAGGTAGGTAAATTGAGGACCCAGTTTGTGGGGGCAATAAGCTGACTTTGTATAAATATACAAAAGAATGAAGGCTATTGCTTAGCGCATTGTAAGCCGCCCTGAGTCTCCGGAGAAGGGCGGCATATAAATCAAAATTTAAAAAAAAAAAAAAAACTTTGATGCAGTCTGGAAACTATCTTAAGAAGCAACAGCAACTGTCCATGGAGATTCTCAGTTCTCTGAGTCATGGTTGTCCCAAAGGTGCTTTTTTCCAAAACGCAACTGGACTTTCTGGTTTTTCTTTGAAGACGTTTTGCTCCTCATCCAAGAAGCTTCTTCAGCTCTGATAGGATAGTGGGGAATGGAAGGATTTATACTCCTTGCAGATAACTGGTCATTTGCATTCTTCGAGAGAGTCCTTGAGGCCACTTGGAGATTTATCTGTGTCCTTGGGGTCACCTGAGTAGTGTAAATGGTTCCTGTAGTCTGCAATTTTTTCTCAGGAAATCCATTCCACTCAGGTGACTCTGAGGACACAGATAAACCTCCAAGTGGCCTCAACGACCCTCTAAAAGGATGCAAATGACCAGCTGTCTGCAAGGAATATAAATCTTTCCATTCCTGTCAAGAGCTGAAGAAGCTACTTGGATGAAAAGCAAAATATCTTCAAAGAAAATTCAGAAAGTCCAGTTGCCTCTTGAAAAAAAGAAAAGTACATTTGGGAAAAGCAACATCAACGTACTTAAGAGATTCCCAAAGTTGCAGGAGAAATGGACAGAACTGAACTTTTCCTCTTACCTGAAACGGTGCTTTTCCCGTCAGGCACTGGTAGATGATCGTCCCAATGCTCCACAGATCAGCTTTGGCATCGTAATGTTGAGACATAATTACTTCTGGGGCCTACAACGGAGCAGAAAAAGACATGTGTGGTCTCACCTGCTTTGAAGTCACCCCCCCCCAAACCCTGCGAGCCGGCCCTCCCAGCAGAGGATTTGAGAAAGCCGGTGGATTTAAGTTTTCTTTGCAAAATTAAAACTGGGTAGTTAATGAAAGGGAGGAGAAAAGCTACACTATAATCTGGTCGGGAGCCTGCTTGAACGAGGGGAGAAAACCCAGAATTTAATCCCATACGGGCCCCCAAAAAATAAAGCAAAATTAAAAAGCAACTGTTTTGACCTAGGCTTCCTTAGTCAGTAAAACACATGAGTAGTCCCAAAAACCTCTTTTATTGTAACAGCTGTGAATTACGTTCATTCACAGCTGAGTCCCAATTAGTTGCAAAAAGTCCTTCGGGATAATCACCAACCTTTATCTCCCTTGACACGCTGTCAAAGGCCTACTTGGCAAAGCCACACAGAGTCCAGAATCAAACAGAGATGCTGAGTAGGAACAGAATTAACAATGTTGCTTTCCTGCAAAGGGCCCACGTGCCTTTGCTCCTCTTTTAAGCCTTATGGGGGGGCCAATCATCTCCAGGCCTTACTCCTGAGTCGTCCTTTTTGCTTTAACTGTTCTTGCTTTCTGGCAGCTCTGCGCATGTGCGCACTAGGAACAGGCTCCTCCTGTTCCTCTGCCTCTCTGATGTCTGACTCTGGAGGCTCCGGAGTCCATGCGTAACTCCCAGATGGCCCTGGCCCCGTCTCTGCCTCCGATGCAGAGCCCTCATCCGAGCCTTCCCCAGACTCCAGGACCAGCCCATGTTCCTCCCCAGCCTCCTCACTGTCCGACTCTGCTGCCAGCTCCACAGGCTGCTGGCGGACCACAACAGAGCCTGGTGGCTCTGCAGACTAAAAGCATTGTGATTAACACCAGCTGTCTGCAATTTCTGCTGGTTCGAATCTCTCCAAGGCTCAAGGTTGACTCAGCCTTCCATCCTTTCTAAGGTAGGTAAATTGAGGACCCAGTTTGTGGGGGCAATAAGCTGACTTTGTATAAGATATACAAAAGAATGAAGGCTATTGCTTAACGCATTGTAAGCCGCCCTGAGTCTCCGGAGAAGGGCGGCATATAAATCAAATTAAAAAAAACAACAACAGCAACCCCTCTACTTGATCCCTTGGGTCAGCTAAAGCTGGAGGAATAAAAAGAGAGATTCAAACGTTCTCTCTAATGCAACTGAGTGGTTGGCCGATGAGTCATTGGCCTCCAGCCAACCCTGCGGGGGAAAAAAAAATGCCAACGAACACACCTTTGTACCAAAACAAAGAACGAAGCGTGCACGCAAACATTCAACCCAGGCGGCAACTTCCCAGCTGCCAAACAAGTTGAAACAGCAAGATAGAATCATGGCACGCGTTGCCAAAACGTTCTGCTGAACTCGTAACCGGCGGCACTCCGAATAATTAATTTTTTTTTAAAAAAAAGTTGGGAGAAATGAGAAAAAAAGTTTTCTCATTCAAGCATGTCAACTCTGGGGGTGGGAGGAATGAGAAGCCCCCCCCCCGCTTGCACCTGCTCTGCTTCCAACAACGAGCCTGCGAGGTAGGTTAAGCGGACTCGCTGGGAAAGAAGGCGGGGGGGCGGGGGCTGAGCCACTTGACTGGAAGGTTTGCCACAGAGGCTTGGAGGGACAGGTTTTCACAGATGTTCGAGGGAACCCTTCTCCTGAGTGGGACGGGGTGGACTAGATGACCTCTTAAGACCCCATCCGGTTCCACGATTAGCATTCTAAAGGAAAAAAAGGGGGGGCCAATCCAACGGTGGCTCCCTATTTATAGGTTTTCATGCATCTCTTCCCCCTTAAATGCAAAAGGTCCGTCTTTTTTTTTTTATTATTATTTGATTTATATGCCGCCCTTCTCCGGAGACTCAGGGCGGCTTACAATGTGCTCAGCAATAGCCTTCATACTTTTGTATATTCATACAAAGTCAGCTTATTGCCCCCACAAACTGGGTCCTCAATTTACCTACCTTAGAAAGGATGGAAGACTGAGTCGACCTTGAGCCTGGCGAGATTCGAACCTGCAGTAATTGCAGGCAGCTGGTGTTAATCACAATGCCTTAGTCTGCTGAGCTATCCAGGCTCCTAAATTTCTTAAATTTCACATCTTAAATTTCACGTCCTAAATTTGCCCCCACAAATGACGTCCCCATCACATAACGCATCACGCAGATAGTCCTCGACTTACGACCGTTCAGTTAGTGACCGTTCGAAGCCACCCCGGCACTGAAAACAGTAACTTCCAGAGTCCCCTTTTTGCAACCTTCCGACCAGCAAAATCCAATGGGGAAGTCAGTTTCACTTAACAATCTTGCTAAGTTAACAACTTAACCACGGTGGCAAGGAGGGTCATAAAACGAGGCAAAACCCACTCAGTACCTGTTCACACTCAGCCAGAGAAATTTCGGGCTCAGTTGTGGTCGTAAGTCAAGGAATACCTGTATTTAAAACCCCGCTGGTTCTCCCTCACACCAAGCTTTGTGTTAAAAATATAACACGGCCGAGTATCCCATTCTATTATATCAAGATATTAATAACTCTGCCGTCTCTGGCTTTGTTTGCAAGCAAAACACACACATACACACACACACACACACCAGCAGCATCCGTAGTAGATATGCACAGGAAGGCATTGTGTGCTTTGGGTGAAGTCAGCCACCAACCAACACAAAACGCAACACTCCAAGCCCAGCAGAATGCCAAAAAAAGAATAATGACACCTTGGCTTCAGAATGCTGATGGCCCAGCCAACTGCTAGGTATGTGTTTCTGTGTGGGGGTGTTTGATTTTAGCCAGTTAACTGAAGGGGAAAACAGCCTCCAGTTTCTTCCTTTTGACCCCCTCCCAGATTCATAAGGGTCAGCCTTACCAGGTACACCAGACAGGAAACATGACCAGGTGAGGTCATTCAACTTGAGGGTAAAGCTACATTAAGAGAATCTTACAAATCTGAAAGTAAAAAAAAAATTTCCTGCGGCCACCTTTACATCTGAGGAAACTAGGGAGGGTCCCTTCTGAGTCTCTTTCCCCACCCATTGTTCAACTCTGGGCTATGCTGTCTCTTATCTGATCATTCCCTAGGCAGCATCTCTTTTCCTCGTCTTCCATGGTATTCCTCTCCTTCCATTACTGCCGCCTGCTTTACAGCCTAGGACACTAGGGAGGGTCCCTTCTGAGTCTCTTTCTCCCTCCATTGTTCAACTCTGGCTATGCTGTCTCTTATCTGATCATTCCCTAGGCAGCATCTCTTTTCCCCATCTTCCATGGTATTTCTCTCCTTCCATTACTGCCACCTGCTTTACAGCCTTAAGAAACTAGGGAGGATCCCTTCCGAGTCTCTTTCTCTGCCCCTTATGTAGCTCGGGGCCATGCCTTCTCTTATCTGACCATTCCCTAAATAGTATCACTTTCCTCCATCTCCCAAGGTCTTTCGCATATACCATTACAGCCCTCTCCTTTACAGCCTAAGAAACTAGGGAGGGTCCCTTCCGAGTCTCTTTCTCCCTCCATCTCTATAAAGAAATGTGTTGTGATTCTAGAAAAGGTGCAGAGAAGAGCAACCGGGATGATGAGGGGACTGGAAGCTAAAACATACGAAGAACGGTTGCAGGAACTGGGCATGGCTGGTCTAGTGAAGAGAAGGACCAGGGGAGACAGGATAGCAGCCTTCCAATATGTGAGGGGCTGCCACAGAGAGGAGGAAGGGGGTCAAGCTATTCTCCAAAGCACCCGAAGGCCAGACAAGGAATAATGGATGGAAACTGATCAAGGAGAGATTCAACCTGGAAACAAGGAGAAACTTTCTGACAGTGAGAACAATCAACCAATGGAACAGAAGTTGCCTTCAGAAGTTGTGGAAGCTTCATCACTGGAAGCTTTCAAGAAGAGACTGGATTGCCATCTGTCAGAAATGGTGTAGGGTCTCCTGCCTGGGCAGGGGGTTGGACTAGATGACCTACCAGGTCCCTTCCAACTCTGTTAATCTAAAAAAAAAAAAATGTGGCCACAAAGGAATAATAAAGCTCAGTGGTTATCAAAAGGGACGAATCTGAAGACATATTGGCATTTGGTGCACCACATTATTGTCCTATGCCCAGGGGTTTCCCGATTTATCCTCAAGAACCTGGCTAAAACACTCGGCCTTGTTGACTTCTTTGTGATGTTTTAAATCCTGGTCAAATCTCAGCCTGTCTCTCACTTTTTCCTCACTCTCCTCCTCCCAGGAGGACAAAAAAAGACTTCTAATTGTCAGGTTCTCTTTTTTCCCATTCTGAAGGTTTCCTCCAAGGACTCCAGACCACGTGTTGCAACAGCCCTGCAGGCAGTCTGGCCAGTGTCTGGTCAGTTCAAAGGAGGCGTTGAGGAACCTGTTCAAACTTTCTGACCGGTACATTCTGTTTCAAGACCATAAAACATCGGAACAAACCGTCAAGGCCAGGCCAGGATCATGTAAGAACAGGAGGAACTCCAGGGTTGGATCAAACCAAGGTCCACCTTGTCCTTTTCGTGTCATACCATAAGCAGTCAAAGGTCACCAGAAAGGAGAGGGGCAAGTGGTATTTAAGGCTGGGCTTCTATCAACCAGAAGGATCATCAACCATCATTGGCTACTCCCAACTTAACAGCTCAGTAGCTACATGAACTTGCCATTCCCATCTCAAATTCCGCAGAATTTAATATGATGCATCTGGCTTTGGCCTCGCGTAGAGGTCTGGACATGACTCAAGGGAAGGTTGGAAGAGGTCATCTAGCTCAACCTTCTACCCAGTCCAGGATCCACTAAGAGCAACAGTCCTCAAATTTTCTGGCTTGGCGGCCCAGCAGTGGGGGGAGAAGGGGATAGTTCCTTGTGAGTGGTAGGCGGGTTCTGACAGAGCACGCATGGCGCTGATTGGAGCTTCGCGCATGAGCACAAGATGGCCGCTGTTGGCACAAGGAAAGTTTTGTGCGTGAGCGCAAGATGGCTGCCACTCGTGCAAGGGAAGTTTTGTGCTTGAGCATAAGATGGCCACCACTTGTGTGAGGGAAGGTTCGTGTAAGTAAGTGCAAGATGGCCACCGCTTACATGAGGGAAGTTTCGTATGTGAGAGCAAGATGGCCGCCGCTCATGTGAGGGAAGTTTCATGCGTGAGTGCAAGATGGCCGCCACTCACGTGAGGGAAGTTTTGTACATGAATGCAAGATGGCCGCCGCAAATGTGAGGGAAGTTTTGTGCATGGGTGCAAGATGGCCACCACTCACACGAGAGAAGTTTCATTCGGGAATGCAAGATGGCCACTGCTTGCACAAGAGGAGTTTCACACGCGAGCGAAGCTTTGTACGCGCACACGCACTTACCCGCTGCCCGCATGGCCCGGTTCCGAACAGGCCGCAGCCCGGTAGTGGGTCATGGCCTCGGGGTTGGGGTCCCCTGCACTAAAGTATCTTCAACAGATGACCATCCAAGCCTCTGTTGGGAGACCTGAAGGCCAACTCCCCACTTCATGTGGCAGCCTGTTCCACTGGTCCAGAGCACGCATCAAGTTCCTTCTGATATCTACCGTGAACTTAGCATTTGTAGTTTGAATCCACCGGCTCTCTTCTTCCCCTCTGGAGCAACAGAGAACAAATCCAGTCTCTTTTATGACATCCCTTTCTAAGGTTTCAAAACAGGTGTTGCGTCTCCCTGTAATTATCTATTCCGCAGACTAAACATGCCGAGATCCTTAAGGACTCCTCGCCAACCTTCAAGTTTCCAAATCTCTTATCTTGGTAGATACTAAACAGCCCAGAGAGCCTTGAACTGGTTCAACCAATGTGATTTACACATGTAAACCGAGCTCAAGAGATGCTGGACGAATCTATCCACTCGATTGCCTTTTCCATAACAAACTCTTTCTCTGCACATTGGAGAAAGTTGTCCAACCAGGTCGGTATCATAAATCTTCTTAATGAATCAAGAGGGCTGGAGGGATATTATTTGCCTCCAGTCTGAATCAGACACTCCGCTCACGTCTTACATCTGCTTCCTCTTTTCTTGCTGGGTGACTCCTGCCATGAAGAACTCATGTTCTGGCTGCAGGAACAAAAACAGGCTCTCTGGGATGCTCAAAACTCCCGTGTCTGTTTGTAACCTTCGATTAGGCAAAATGGTGGGTCATGGAGCAACCATTTTTGAACCGACATGCTTCCGATGGGCTTCCCTCACAGAATGCACCCCAAAATCTGACTCCAAGGGGATTGACATTTGGCAAAGTCACAGATGCTGCGACGTTACTGCGCTGTTGCGCTCGGGTTTGTCGTTTCCAATGCTGCCTGCCAGTTTCCTAACGAGGGAGATCCACGGGGGAGGCTCACACTTGGTCCTTATTGCATACAAACTTCCTCCAATCGCATACGATCTGAATACACAACCTGCCGTCCCCAATTTAAGAGCATCAAGAAGATCTCTTTTACAACTTAGTTGCACAACCGATCAATATATTTTTGCTGAACGAATGGCGCTCAGCCGAGGATTACCTGCATTGTACACATGCAGAGAATCATAGAATGTAAACTGTGAAGGGGGACTTTCGGGGGTCATCTATTCCAACCCCAACCCCCACCCAAAGCAAGAATCACAAAACGGAACCTATAGAAGGAATCGTCCAGTTCAGTTTCCAACAGAGCAGAATCCAGAATTCATCGAAGAGTAAGACAGAAGCATTGGAGAGGGTCTGTTGTTTCAATCTTTGCAATGCCATCCGGGGACACTGGACTGCAGCCATATCAATTTTTAAATACGTTAGAATAGAACAACAAGAGTGGGAAGGGACCTTGGAGGTCTTCTAGTCCAACCCCCTGCTTAGGCAGGAAACTCTATACCATTTCAGACAAATGGCTGTCCAATCTCTTCTTTAAAAACTCCCAGTGTTGGAGCATTCACAACTTCTGGAGGCCAGTTGTTCCACTGATGAATTGTTCTCATTGTCAGGAAATTCCTCCTTAGTTCTAGCTTGCTTCTCTCCTTGATTAGTTTCCACCCATTGCTTCTTGTCCCGCCTTCAGGTGCTTTGGAGAATAGCTTGACTCCTTCTTTGGGGCAGCCCCTGAGATATTGGAACACTGCTATCATGTCTCCCCTAATCCTCCTCTTCATTAAACTAGCCATGCCCAGTTCCTGCAACCGTTCTTCGTATGTTTTAGCCTCCAGTCCCCTAATCCTCTTTGTTGCTCTTCTCTGTACTCTTTCTAGAGTCTCCGCCCTGAGTGTCCGGAGAGGGGCGGCATATAAATTTAATAAATAAATAAATAAATAAATAAAATAAAGATCTTTTTTAGATCATGGCGACCAAAACTGGATGCCGTATTCCAAGTGTGGCCTTACCAAGGCCTTATAAAGTGGTATTAACACTTCAGGTGATCTTGATTCTATCCCTCTGTTGATGCAGCCTAGAACTGTGTTGGCTTTTTTGGCAGCTGCTGCACACGGCTGGCTCCTATTTAAATGGTTGTCCACTAGGACTCCGAGATCCCTCTCACAGTTACTATAATGACCATCAGATCACCCCTCTCCCAGGAATCATGCAACTTCCTAGGTCAGGGGTCAGCAACCTGTGGATCTGGAGCCACATGTGGCTCTTTCATCCCTCTGCCGCGGCTCCTTGTCGCTCAAAATATGCATCACAACCACCAATGTGTGATACCTGCCGGCACGTGATTGATTGAGCATTTCGACTCCCAGTAGGCCAACCATGGATAAATCCAAGAAAAGTTTCAGAAGAAAACAGAACATTTAATTCAACTACATATGCTAATTTTGTGGCTACTCAGGAAATAGTCAGGCACAGGAAGGGTTTTGTGGCTCCCGGTGTTTTCTTTTCTGTGGGAAACGGGTCCAAATGGCTCTCTGAGTGTTGCAGAGCCCTGCCCTAGGTAAACAAACACCATCTTCACCATTTTTAGGTCCTCAAAATACAGAGTAACAAGATTTGGGATGGAAGACCACAGAACTTTGTGTAGGTAAGCTCGGACACAATAACAGAGAAAAGGACACGACAACAAAACCAAAGTTGTTCACTCACAGACTGTAACCACTTCCTTTCCCAGGATAAATGAAAGCTGGCCTCAGTCATCAAACACTGCTAAATGTAAAAAGCTGTCTTCCTTATCACTCCTCATCGCTCCACCCTTTCGTGTGGTGTCTTTTTTTCTTTTTTCGAGCAATAGGAACAGCAATTATTTGTGCCGCTTTCCGAGTTTTTCCAACTCTAAAACCCATTTAGGAAAAAGAAAATGCAAATAAACCAAGCTGCCCCTTACCATGTACATGGGAGACCCGCACAGCGTCGCTGCCATCATATTATTCTGTAGGTAGCGTGCAAATCCAAAATCAGCTACACGGAGAAGCAAATGGGGGAAAGGGGAAAAAGACAGGGGGGGAAAAATGAGAATTGGCTTTAGCAAGGACCATTAAATATGAAAAGCTGTTTTCTTCCTCCCTCCTTCCTTTTGTGCTGTCTTTTTTTTTTTTTTAATTGATAAAAACAGGAACAACCATAACAGAATTTTTTTTAGGATTATTGTGATTAGGAAAAGCTGGGAGATCAGCCTGGACCCAAATTAACAAACCCATATTTTTCCATTGGGGATGGCAAACCTAAATCATACTTCCTAAAGATTAAAATCCGCTGAAATCCATGGGGTTTACCATTATCACCCCAGAAAAATACAAACAGGACTAGAATCTTAGATCAAATTGTAAACAATCTCTCTCTCTCTCCCTCTCTCTCTCTTGCCATCTCTCTCTCTTGCCATCTCTCTTTCCATCTCTCTTTTTCCATCTCTCTCCTTCCATCTCTCTCTCCATCTCTCTTTCTCTCTCTCTCCTTCCATCTTCCATCTCTCTCTCTCTCTCCTTCCATCTGTCTCCTTCCATATATCTCCCTCTCTCTCCCCCCCCTTTTCTCTCACCATCTCTCTCCATCTCTCTCTCTCACCATCTCTCTTTTTCTATCTCTCTCCTTCCATCAGTCTCCTTCCATATATCTCCCTCTCTCTCTCCATCTCTCTCTCTCTCCCCCGCTCTGTTTTTTTCATAGCATCTTTTGTCCCTTTCATTTTCCACTTACCGATCTTGATCCGGATGTTATTCGGATTCGACTTCTTGCCTCCCGTGAAGGAAAGCAGAATATTCTGGGGCTTGAGATCTCTGTGAATGATGCCTTTGCTGTGCAAAACTCTCATGGCACCTGCAATTTGCTGGAAAAAGAGGCGGATTGTGTCTTCGCTGAGAGTTCTCATACCTATCGAAAGGAAGAGAGGGGGAAACAGCGGTGAACTTTGCTGATTATTATTGTTTATTGCCAAACGGATTGTACTGCCAAAGGTTTTACACCTGGGCAAGGAAAAACCAAAGGTACAAGTACAGATGAGGCGAAACCTGGCTCAGAAACAGTAAGAGGGACCTTGGAGTCCTAGTGGACAATCCCTTAAATACGAGCCAGCCGTGTGCGGCAACAGCCAAAAAAGCTAATACAATCCTGGGTTGAATAAACAGAGGCATAGAATCAAAAACACATGAAGTATTAGTATCGCTTTATAAAAACTCTAATAAGACCAGACACCTGGAATATTGCATCCAGTTTTGGTCACCACATTACAAAAAAGATGTTGAGACTTTGGGAAAAGTGCAAAGAAGGGCAACTTGGATGATTAAAAGCCTGGAGACTAAAACCATATGAAGAATGGTTGAAGGATTTGGGTTTGGCTAGTCTAGAGAAAACAAGGACTAGGGATGTGATATGATAGCAGCATTCCAGTATTTGAGGGGCTGCCACAAAGAAGAGGGGATCAACTTATTCTCCAAAGCACCTGAAGGTGGGACAAGAAACAATGGATGGAAACTAACCAAGGAGACAAGCAACCTGGAACTAAGGAGGAACTTCCTAACAGTGAAGACAATCAACCAGTGGAACAGCTTGCCACCAGAAGTTGTAGGTGCTTCATCAGTGGAGGTTTTAAGAAAAAACTGGACAGTCTCTTGTCTGAAGTGATATAAGGTCTCCTGCTTGGGTAGTGGGGGGCTGGACTAGCAGACCTCCAAGGACCCTTCCAGCACTTATTCTGATTCAACCCAAGGGTGAGAAGCTGTCAACAACAAAACCAGTGGGGTACCTTCTTCCTCAAACGTTAAATTGACGTGGTGCAAGATTAAGCCCTGAAGAACAACAATCTGAATTAACACAACCTGTTCCTTGATACAGGTAGTCCTTGACTTAATGACCACAACGAAGCCCCAAATTTCCGTTGCTAAGCGAGACAGTGAGTTTTTTGCCCCATTTTTTTTAAAAAAATCTTCCTACGTCTCTTGTTTTTGCCTGTTGACGTGCTGCAAGATTAAGTCCCCCCAAAAAAACAACTTGGATTAATGTACAACGTGTCTGAACCCAGGCCAGGAAGAACTGGGCAAGGATGATTAATCAACCCAACAACACGGCTTTCATCTTTTTGTTAGCGTGTTTTTAAAAGCTTTTTTTTTTTTTAAAGGATGACGGCCTTGGAGGACTTGAATGCATTAGAGGTTGATGAGAATTACAAAGAGCGGCTGCTTAAAAAATTTATCAATAGGGCCAGGTCTCTTGTCTGGAGATCGTGAAGACTTCAGAAGTCTCTTTGAAAAGTTTTAATTTGTTATGTGTGTTGCTGGACAGACACTATCAAAAACGTCTGGTGAGGGTTTTTTTTTAATTCTAATCAGATGGCTGCTTTATACCAGCGTTTGAATGAAAACATATTCTTCAATATCATGAATTGGGAATGAACTCCAGTCATTCTGCCTTAAAGTTGTTATACCCTGTATTTTGTTCTGGGAAGTTCGGGGGTGGAGGGGGGGGGGGAAGGAAGGGGGGGGGGGGGGGGGATGGGGAAATATTTGTAAAAATTTTTGTAAAACTCTTTAATATAAAAAACAAGTTATTTATTTATTTATTTAAATTTTTATACCGCCCTTCTCCCGAAGGACTCAGGGCAGTGTACAGCAATACTAAAACAACATATACCCATAAAATTTAAAAACAGTTTAAAATATATTAAAAATTTGGCCCTTATATTAAAAAACAATTAAAATTCATTTTCTAAGCCAGCCCAGCCTGTTGGAACAAAAGAGTCTTAAGGGCACGGCTAAAGGTCGGGGATCATGCGAATCTCCGGGGGCAATTCATTCCAGAGGGCAGGTGCCCCCACAGAGAAGGCTCTCCCACTCGGTGTCGCCAGTCGACATTGTTTGACCGACGGCACCCTGAGGAGTCCCTCTCTGTGGGAGCGTATTGGCCGGTGGGAGGCTATCGGTGGCAGAAGGCGATCTCGTACGTACCCAGGTCCTAAGCCATGGAGCGCTTTAAAGGTGGTAACCAGCACCTTGAATCGCACCCGGAAGACCACCGGGAGCCAGTGCAGCTCACACAGGAGAGGTGTTACATGGGTGCGCCGTGTCGCTCCCATAATCACCCGCGCGGCCGCATTCTGGACCAATTGGAGCCTCCAAGTGCTCTTCAAGCACTCAAATATTCCAGCATGGGAGAACACCCATTCAAATAATGATGCCCCTTTTTCCTTGCTTGTTCATTTAAGACATTTCTTAATTAATCCGATGCTCACCGTGTTTAGATAGACGTTAAACAATATGTACATATATAAAAGGGTGGAAACCCTCCAAAATTTTAACAATTTACTTAAGGCACCAAACGATTTCTATAAACGAAAGCTGTCAATAAAAATTTCGCTAGCCTTGGAGACCACCTATGCTTCGATTGTTTAGTCTGGCTGAAAATAGGCCCTGTTGGCATTAATTATGCCTGTAATTAAAAAGGAAAAAGCAACAACAACTAAAATTAGAAGTCCAGGACAAACTTGCTAGCGGAATACCATATGGGCACTCCTATCAAACTGCATGGATGAAACTAATTTGATAAGGGATTTCGTGCCTGATATTATTTTCTGTTTCTTAATATTGATGCTATCTGTGTTTCCCTGAAAATAAGACCCTGGTCTTATATTTTTTTGAACTCTGAAATAAGCGCTTGGCCTTATTGCCATGCGCTCAACAGCCTGATTGGGCTTATTATCAGGGGATGTCTTATTGTGGGGGGGAACAAGGTAATATTATGGAATAATCAGACGGCATTCTTAGAATACGTACTGTGCAAATAGTCAGCCAAATCTCCACCGTTGCAGTACTAAAGAGGGGAGAAGAAAACAGAAGCAAGAATTCATCAGCTAAGCCAAATTATTCAACATTCAGGTCAATAAATAAAACAACAACTAGCACTCTGCAGTTCGAGATGAAAAAGGGCATGAAACTTTAATAAATAAACAAAATCGTGCATGAATTCTTTAAAAGAAGGGCAAAATTAAAATCTATCTTAAAATGCTTCGGAATCTTAGAATCGCTCACCTCCATCACCAAATAAACGGAGTTTGCCATCTCCTAAAAAGCAAAATGAAGCCATTGTTATTTCACATCGCCCGTTCGGAATTTGAATGATTCAAAGGAGGAAGGAAAATATCATGTAAAATAAATAAATATGTGAACGTCGGACATGCCCAGACTTGTCACGCCTGCTTCGCTCACCGTGGGAGAAAAACCAACAGACTTTGCAAATTTCTCCTCCAGCTTTGCAGGCAAGGGAAACCGAGATGGTTTCTCCAGGTTGGCGCAGAACAAAAGGAAAAGTCTGCTATTTTTGTGAGGTTGGGTTGGGTTTTGTTTTGTTTTTTGGGTGGGGAGGACAAATTTGGGTAAAGCTTCAGGTCGTATTTCTTTCGGACTTGTGTTTTCAGGAAAGATAGATGATAGCACCTCCTGTGGTCTTCTCTAGTCAGCAATACATACAAAACTTCACTATTTGTTAAGAATTCCAAAGATTTTTTCAGGAGGCAACTGGACTTCCTTGTTTTTCCTTTGAAGACATTTCGCTTCTGATCCAAGAAGCTTCTTCAGCTCTGACGGAATAGTGGGGAATGGAAGGATTTATACTCCTTGCAGACAGCTGGTCATTTGCATCCTTTTAGAGCAGTGGTTCTCAACCTTGGTAGCTTGAAGATGGGTGGATGTCAACTCCCAGAAAGGCTGGGGAATTCTGGGAGTTGAAGTCCACCCATCTTCAAGCTTCCAAGGTTGAGAAACACTATTTTAGAGGGTCGTTGAGGCCACTTGGAGGTTTCTCTGTGTCCTCAGAGTCACCTGAGTGGTGCAAATGTTTCCTGTAATCTGCCATTTTTCCTCTGCAAATCCATTCCTACTCCCACAACATTCAAAGGGTGTTCACCCCAAATTGTATAGCTAAAAGTTTGTAGAGATTCTCAGTCAACCAGGTCATGGTTGTCCCAAAAGTGCAACTGGAGGAGGCAAATGGACTTTCTTGTTGTTGTTTTTTTCTTTTGAAGACGTTTCGCTTCTCATCCAAGAAGCTTCTTCAGCTTCCATTCCCCACTATCCAGTCAGAGCTGAAGAAGCTTCCTGGATGAAAAGTTAAACACCTTCAAAAGAAAAACCAAGGAAGTCCAGTTGCCTCCTGAAAAAGCACCTTTGGGACAACCATGACCTGGAAGACTAAGAATCTCTACAGACTTTTAGCTATACACTTGGGAATAAACACCCTTCAAATGTGTGTGCAGGAGTGTGAACGGATTTCCAGAAAAATTGGAGACTACAAGAACCAGGAGCACCACTCAGGTGACCCTGAGGACACAGATCAACCTCCAAGTGGCCTCAACGACTCTCTAAAAGGATGCAAATGACCAGCTGTCTGCAAGGAATATAAATCCTTCCATTCCCCACCATCCAAATCAGAGCTGAAGAAGCTTCTTGGATGAGAAGCGAAACGTCTTCAAAAGAAAAAACAAGGAAGTCCAGTTGCCTCCTGAAAAAGCACCTTTGGGACAACCAAGACCCGGATGACTGAGAATCTCTACGGACTTCTATTTGTTAAGAACTTCCCTGAACAGGTCTTGTTTTGGGAAGAGGAAGAAGAAAAAGTTTTCTTCCATCTAGATGTCTACAAAGGATAAAGATATGCAGAACGATTTCTTTCCTTGCCATGGTTTGATACGTTCAAGAATTCACACAACAGACAATAGATTCTCTCCAAGTTCTCAGATCTTATAAAGCCATCATAGGAAGAGAGGAATCTTCTGTTAAGCCTTCCTGGAGATATTTGCAGGACCTCGTTTCTTACCGGAACAATTTGCAAATAAAAAAGTGCAATTACATGGACCTGATCTGTCCGGTGCATGACGCCTCTGGATTGTTGAATGAATCTTAATAATTACACACAACCCACTGTAGGAAGTTAGCACCCACCCCTCTCCTAGAAAAATGAAATAATCTAGGAAATATTAAAAGGACAGAATATTTCCCCTAAAAGAGAGGCAAAAACTCAGCCCCCACCTCCCCCCATACCTTTGTCAATGGACCAGTCCATTCTACATAACAAAGATCTACCTCCTTCAGGCAGAGCCATAGTAGGAATTGCCCAAAGCCCTTTCATTACATCATCACCCAGCAAGGCTCAACCAAGCCTGGGACACAGACAACCTACAAAGTTACCCTTGCATGGCCCCATGGGAGTCTGACAACCAATCAGAATACAAGCTCAAATTCAAAAACCCAGAGAGGGTATAAAACCAGGGCACTCTCAGCATCTCTTCCCTTTTTCTCTTCACCCAAGATCTTCAAGGCATGTGATCCTGTCCACCATTAAAAACCATCTTTCCACACAGCCACCGTGTTTCCAGGGTCTTTTTCCCCACTTGGAACTGAACCCAGAAGGACATTTCTTCCCACACCGCTCAACACGTCAAACCGGACATGTGAATCCAGTTAGGATTCTTCACGTTGAGCGTTTAGAGCAAGGGGAAGCCATCGGTTTTTCATTGGGCTTAATAAAAACACGGCTGAATTATTGGAGTGTCTACCACAGAGGATGGACTACGAGAAGCAGATGTTTGGGAAAACGTAAAGCAGAAGACTTGAGAAGAACCAGGATGGACCCAACGTATGCAGAGAACTGCGTCCCATTCTGGATTCGGAGTGCTCATATTGTGAGCGCTCACACAAAATGGCTGTTTTGGGATGGGTTGGCCTTTCTCAAAATGGCTGCCCTCCCCATGGTCCATTCCACAATATGCGTTGCTAGAAAGCAAGCTGGGAGGGGAGGACTCTTCCCACCCTAGTCTACGCTAATCTCAGTCCTTGAATGTTCTGCATCCATCCAACATCTGGCATTTCTTTTCCTCTAAAGAGAGAGAGAGGAACATTTACAAAGGATTTCTAAAATTACAGTATTTTAATTGGCAGCACAACGGTTCTCCCTTTTAATTAGTCCAGGGGGAAGGCCCAGGGGACATTTGAATTTGGTGGATCCCACCCAAACAAATCTTCTTCTAACCAACTCTCCAGTCTCTTCCTTGAAGTAACAGTAACAGAGTTGGAAGGGATCTTGGAGGTCATCTAGTCCAACCCTGTAAAATGTAAAATTTGTTACTACCGTTTCTGTGGGCGTGGCTTGGTGGGGGAGGGGTAATGTGACTGCGTGGACGTGGCCAACTTTTTTTTTTAACTTTTAAAACCATTTTTTCTACAACCTCTTCGTCCGAAGAGGTTGTAGAAAAAATGCTTTTAAAAGCCTCTGACGATCAGGCAACTCAGCTGGGATCCTTAGAGGCTTTTAAAAGCATTTTTTTCTACAACCTCTTCAGCCAAAAATGCTTTTAAAAGCCTCTGAGGATCCCAGCTGAGCCGCGCGATCATCAGAGGCTTTTTTTTTACTTTTAAAAGCATTTTTTTGGCAGAAGAGGTTGTAGAAAAAATGCTTTTAATTTTTTTTTAAAAGCCTCTGATGATTGCGCGGCTCAGGGGGGCGGGGGGGGGGGGGCGCAGAGATATTTGCTACCAGTTCTCCGAACCACCCGCCGCCATCGCTACCGGATCGGGCGATCCGGTCCGAACCAGGAGCATTTCACTCCTGATACTAGGGATTCAAACTGCCGACTTTTCTGATCGACAAGCTCAGCATCTTAGCCACTGAGCCACCTGGTTTTTTTCCGACCAGGGGTTTGCAACCCACGGCTCTGGAGCTGCGTGTGCCTCTTTCATCCCTCTGCTGCGGCTCCGTCGCTCAAAATATGTGTCACAACCGCCAATAATGTGACACCTGCTGGCACATGATTTATTGAGCTTTTCAAACCTCCCCCCCCTTTTTTTTTGGAGTTCAAAATGTTTTTGTTGCATGCAGAAATAAAACTCCATAGCAGTTCATTGATTTCATAAATGCAACACGCTATATTTTTTTTTATACATAGCATAAAGGTAAAAAAAAATATGCAGTGTTATCTTCATTTTAGCTCTCAAAAGGGTTTTTGTGACTCCCGGTGTTTTCTTTTCTGGCTCTTTTCAGCGTTTAAGGTTGCTGACCCCCACCTTTAGATGTTTGTGGTAGAACTCATAAATTAAAAAAAAAACAAGATTTATCATCAGGGAATCCTCGACTTCCAATCCTATTTGTTTAGTGACTATTTGAAGTTAGAACAACACTGGGAAAAAAGTGATTTATGATCGTCCTCGCATTTACAAGTGGCGCAGCATCTTCTACAGTCACATGATCGAAGCGTTTAGGCACTCGGCAACCAGTATGTATTTATGACGGTGGCAGCATATCATCACCATGGGCGACTTTCCCAGCCAGCTTCCAACAAGCAAAATCAATGAGGGAAGCCCCATTCACTTAACAACCGCACGACTCACTTAACGAACTGCAGGGATTCGCTTAACAAGTGTGGCAAAAAAAAAAAAGACGTAAAATTGGGCACCTCTCATTTAACCGCTGCTTAATAATGGACCCCAATTGTGGTCGTACATTAAGGACTACCTTAATCCAGGAGTCTTCGATTTGCAACTACAATTGAGCCCAAACCAGTGGTGGGTTGCTACAGATTCGTCCCAGCTCGGGCGAACTCGTAGCGGCAGGAGGCTCCGCCCACCCAGATGCTCCTTTGCATGCACAGAAGCGTCGCGCGCATCCACGACCAAACCGGTAACCAACCGGTAACCGGTAACCAACTGGTTTTGAAACTCACTCTCCTGGCCCAAACATTTCCGTTGCTGAGCGAGACAGTTGTTAAATGAGTTTCACCCCCATTTTACGACCTTTCCAGGCCACTATTATGAACGGAATCACTACGGCTGTTAAGTGAGTCACACGGTTGTTAAGTGAGCCTGGCTTCCCCATGGACTTGGCTTGTCCGAAGGTCTCAAAAGAGGGATCATCGCCGGATGCCTGGGGACACTTGCAACAGTCATAAGTACATGCCAGTTGCCAAGCGTCCAAATTTTGATCGCCTGATCATGGGGGAACGATGCAATAGTCGTAAGGGTGAAAAATGCTCATAAGTCACTTTTTTCAGTAGCTTTCAACGGTTGCTAAACAA